CCTAACCTATGCCGAATCAAGAAATTATGCCTATTCTGAATAGAACTTTACTTTCCTCTCATCAAATTTAATCTCCCCCTCCGTCTCACATATCTCACAACCCTCGTCTAACATCTACACACCATCATCATCATCCGCCCCACTCGCCCGTTATCCATTCTCCTCGGCCGATTCAATCTCCCCCTTCGTCGTTTGTACCTCTTAACCGTCATCTATCATCTACTCGACAACCTCACTCAGCCACTTTTCATTCTCCTCAATCCATTCGATCTCCCCATTAATTTTCTGTACCTCATAACCTTCATTTATCATCTACTCAGCCACCTCACTCACCCACTTTCATTTGGTCAACCTATTCGATCTCGCCCTTTATCTTTCTTATATAGCTCTTAACCGTCATCCATCATCTACTCACTCACCCAATTTTCATTCTCCTCTACCCATTCAATTATTCCCTTCGTCTTAGGTACCTTTTAACCGTCATCCATAATCTACTCAGCTACCTCAGTCACCAACTTTTTATCCTCCTCAACCCATTCAATCCCCTCTTCGTCTCATGAAATTTACAAGCCTAGTACAACATCTACACACCCTCCTCACAACCCCCACTCACCCACTGTCCATTCCGATGCCCAAATGGTCACATTTTCGGCACCTTTATCTCACTCTCCACAAGCATTTGAAAACATAGTATAGAAGGTCCAGCAGGTCAAATTGTAAAAGAATTGATAATTTTAAGGAAATAAATGTTACATTATTTATATTTACCGTAATTATTTTTCTTAAGACCTTGTAGATTAGATTGCCTTGCAGGTTTCCGGAATTATTTCGGACGGCAGTTGATGTGATACAATTGAACTGACTGCCTCGTTGGTCTAGCGGTTGTAACAGTGCGACTGCTGATCATGAGGCCCTGGGTTCGAATTCCGGGTTGGGCCAAAAAATTAATTATTGAGTTTTTCCGTCAAGAAATTCTCAGTAGTTGCCCGGAGTCAAGAAGTTGGTGGTGTTTCACCCCCGTGCCTCGAAAAGCACGTAAAGCTGTTGGTCCTGCGCCTGATCTCCCTCCGGTCGTGTCGGTTTACCGTCCCATCGGATTATGAGAGTGAGGCAATAGAGAGTACACCTGTGCTTGCGCATACACTTAGGGCACTATAATCCTGTCCTGCGCCGACGTCTAGCTTCCGTTGAGGCAGACATTTATTTATTTATCCTTTTTTGTACACCACAATACAGAAACATCAATATAGTTACAACTAATTAAAGTATGTACAATAGGCGGTCTTATCACTGAAAGTAATTTCTTCCAGACAACCTTTGCGTAGAGTAATGATGCAAACAAAAGTTACAAATAGAGGGGGGGCATACAAAATAATAAAAAAAAAATACAACAATACATACAAATAAAAGTAAGTGAAAGTTATATATAAAATATCATATAATAGATTAAATGAAAAGAGTAAGAGAAAGGTAAAGTAATTTATCTAATAGCGTTCTAAATAATACGAAATTCGTACGTTCTAAATAAACGAATAGACATTATTATTATTATTACAATTGAACTGAATCTTAGGTCCCTGTAGTCCCTTCCTTTCCTTTAAAGTGTCTAGCTAACAGCTGTACTGCGGCCGATACAGCTGGTCTCACATTTGTATCTTTTTTGTTATGATAGGTCGCACCATTTCCAGTACCTTGTAAGAAGTTTCCCCGTTCATTCTTAAAGTTATTAATATCATTCAAGTCTAATAACTGCAATATAAGTTTGAACTGCTGAGAATTAATCGTTCCTTAAACCACTTCATCCGCTCTTTTCTTTCTTTATTTTCCGTCTTTAGTTACACACAAAACTGTTAAAGCAAAACCTTTTTGAAATTTGGACAAATTAGGAGCCATTTTTACAACCTAATTCTACGCGAACACGATTCATAGTGAAGATCGACCGTGTTGGCGCTTGGTTGTGATCAGTGTAGTCGAAACACAATCCGCGAATGGAAACCGTGCTTCCACCAAGTTCACCTCTGTTGGGACGCTAGATTACATCCGCCTGGAATATGCTCTTTATAACCTTTATCATATCAAAGACTTCTATGTACACAACTAGACGGGTTCTATTGTACTAATATATTGCACACTAAATTACGGTTAATTCTTCTAAGTACTTATATCTTGTTTTTCTACGAGAGTGTTACCAAGAAAACACTGACATTTTTATGTGCGCACTTTGTCAGTGATATGAAGCTTATTTCAGATAAGCATGTACTTTATCCTCTTAAGACCATAGGTACACATATGTGCACGTTTGATTTATTCAAATCAACACCAGTATTTACATCTTTTGACAACTGCTAGTACTTGAAAGAGTTACTTTAGGTTATAGAGTATCGATATGTGTTCATAGATTGCTTCGCGGAGAAAGTTTGTCGAGTAATTTTTTCATTTTAATTTGTTCCTTGGATCTTTTTTCAAAAGACGTCGACTAGCAATCTTTGAATTTCGATAAAAAAAGAAAATCTATATTGTTATTGATTTATGTTGCTGAATTACTGGACTAACGTGTGAAAGTTTTAGGTTTACTTATTTTTTTCATATATGTGTACATCAGGATGAAACTTTTTTTCATTTACTTTGTATGATATATACGACCGTTTTTAGCTTGAATATGGATGACCGAGCAATTGAGGATTTTCTGAATGACAGTGATCTGTATTTTTCTAGAGACGATGATCATGAGTACTTGCCACAATATGTATTAAAAGCACTTCAAGAGTCTCAAGAAGCGGAAATTAGTGCTAGGACGAAAATACTGAAGAAGTAAGTCAAAGAACATCGCGACTATTATGGCAGAAGAACGTAATGCCTCGTCGTGGGCCAGATATTGCAGATGACGTACTCATTTCACAAAGGAGCTCAGACATGATTTTTTTGTATTGTTTTTTTTTTTTGAGTATTTGGCTGGCTAGACTTTTGGGAATTACTAGCAGAACAGAGCAACCTGTATTCAGCTCAAAAAAGAAATCTAAAATCAATAAATACAAATTCTATTGAAATGATCCACTTTGCTGGCGTGCAACTGATGATGGGCGCCCTCAAATATCCACAAGGAAAGCTAGAGATCTTTGTGTACCTATAGTTAGGGATACAATTAGTCGTGATCGTTTCTTTGAGTTCAAGAACTATCTGCACTTAGTGAACGTAAACCAGCCAAATGCTAATAATAACAAGCTGTGGAAGATCAGGCCACTGATAGAACCCATTTTGAAAATATGCTAGTTTGCCACGCTGTAAACATATGTCAATTGACGAGCAATTTATACCATTCTCTGGAAGATCTGAATACCGTCAATACGTGCGTGCTAAGCCAAATCCACTAGGCCTGAAGAACTTTGTGCTGGCTGGCCGGAATGCTTTGGAATTTGAATTTGAAATCTATATTGGCAAGGATAACATTACCAAATGATGTTATGTTTTACAAGTCTGAAGCTGGCAAAACTTTTACTAGAAAAAGATAGCCCAATTTTTCAATTTCAAAGGACGTAAAATTGTCTTGTCTATATGTTCAGGGAGCGCTCCTGCAGAGAGGAATAAATTTTTGTGACAGATTATTTGCTTACTACCGAAGTGCAATGCGAACAAGAAAGTGGACAGTAGGTAAGAACTTTTTGCCATTTTCTGGATTTGGTTGTGGTCAATTGCTGGTTAATGTACACCCGCTGTTACACCCAAGAAAATGTCTAACGCAAAAACAAGTTGGGCTTACTTCAATACAGACTAAATTGTAGACGAAAGACCACCTACAAAAAACATAGGCCGCTTGTACCGCCCCCCACCCACTACCTGAAATAAGGCTAGAGAATGTGGATCATCTGTCGCGATTTGTGACAGCAAGTCTGCTTCAAAAAGCCATCATCCGACGTGCTCCTCACGCTGCCGCACCATGTGTGTAAAATGCAATATGTACTTGTGTGCTCAAAAATAATTGTTTTGTGGGTTACCACACTATGGTTTTTTTTTTAATTGTGTAAAAATTTTTTTTTCGGATAACAATCGTGTCTTATTTTATACCCCTACAACTATAATAAACCATAAAAAACATTATATAATCACATTTGGTTCAAGTTCAGGTGTTAAGAGGTTATTTCGTATTTGTCTAAAATCAGTAGCTCATAATTAAATGAAAATACAACTATGTGGCAATTTACTGTAACCCGCCCAGCCGTCACGAGCGCTGGCGGTCCACAGCTGTGACAGTATTTTTGTTCTGAATTGCCGCGCTAGTATAAGATTGAACTATTCGATCTATATTTATCTATTCTCTATGAATTAATAATTTGTTTCAACGTGAATAGTCTTCGAGTTTTCTTGGTCACGATTTTATATCAATGAAGTGCAATCTAATCTAGTTGACCAAGATGAAGTATTCAGTTTAACAGCTTTATTTTTTCAACAATGGTTCATCCGGCATTATAAACACTTATTTGAACAAAACGATCAGTGAAACATTTCAATTCTACACAAACAATATATTATTTTATTTCTGAGAAAAATTTTGATACCTACAATAATTAAAAAGAATATTTTTGTGTCGAAGGTATCAACAAAATTTATATAAAACATGTATGTAAAAATATTGTATATAATGTTCAAAAACATTAAATTTAGTGATTAAATAGGAATAAAACAAACTTTAATAGAAATGTTAGTTAGTTGAAATAATTATTTTTCAATAAAATAATATGTTTTCAGGATTCATCCGGTATGTTTCATTTTATATGTGACTGTAAGATAGATGGTCTGTACCATGTAGCTTTCATTTCTGAATATATAATATACCTATATTGCATTAATTTTTACAAACTACAGACAAACATATTTTCACTATAATATCTAATTTACCAAATCACTATAAACAAACAACCTCTAAGGAAATTATTGGATAAAAATTAGTTTACAGTATCAGGGTTTAATAAGAAATTGGTTCCAGTTATAATATTGTTTAATAATCACACTTTTTCAGAGACATTAGATATTATTGGCTTTGGTCTGGATTTAAATAACAATTTCTTTTTGACAATAGCTTTCACTTTATATTCAATCTTTCCTTCATTGTTGATTTTCTCCATGACTGCCATAGGTTGTTCCAATTTAACTTCCTTCCCATTCAATATATGATGACCAAGTACAAGCACGGGATGTTTGTTTCTGTTAAAGTAATGTAAGTCTCCAATGACAGTGGGCCCAAGTGTTGAATCTTTTTTCATTTGAATGAGACCCTGCAGTTCAACAATCGCCCACTCCGGAACACCATTTTCGCTGTTTGTATCACTAAAAAAAATAGAATTGTTGATTTAAACATTATTAGTACAAGTAACAAATATAATACAGAGAAGAAATAGGTTTTGTTGATAAATAAAAATAAGTTAATAATAAAAAAAAACTTTATTTCACATATACCCTTTACACTTTATGAGAAAATATGATACAAATAGTATTGATGAAACCTGAAACAAGAAATTAGTATGAAATGTATTAAAATGCTATCTTAAAATAACATTAACGTGAAGGATATTTTTAATGAAATGAAATTAAAATAATTTTTCGACATAAGAGATAAAGATTTCGTTTGGCAAACTAAATATTTTTTAATCTACTATCGTTTTCAAATAAGCTTCCTCTGTTCGACGAAAGAAATATCGCAGGTATTCTCATTAATTAAATGGACGGTTTTTTCTTTTCAGACAAATGAAAAGGATTTTATTATGTTTTATTGATAAAGAACAACTAACTTCTGATTTTTTACTTGTGTACAAGTAAAAAATCAGAAGTCACACTTCTGCGACGGCATGTATTTGTGTAAGTTTTTGGTTAGTGTTTACTTTTTATTTAAAATCCAGCCATCAGCCCCGGCTCCGCGCGGGTGATTTCTGGATCTCGACAACAGCTGCACCTGCCGGGTCCAATTAACACAAAAAAACGGAACCTAAACCATCCGCTCAAAACAAAAAAGCTAGTTTCGCGTTTTAGCGAGACTAACGGACAGCGATTGATTTTTATATATAGAGAATATAATACCATTGCGGGGGGCAATCAAAGTTTTTGGTGATTTATAATTAAAACTGATATTGGGTTAGTTTATTCTATATTTTAAATACATTAACATTTTGGGTATTTTCTGTCTACAATACTTCGACTGTCGCATTATTTTATTATCTACATCACAGTGATAATGCCGTGACAATTTAAAAATTATTAAGTTATAATCAGTGGATGATGCTATGCTCCATAGACACCTATGCCTATCCTTGACTAAGAGTCAAATGCAGACGTCATCCTTGAGAATTACGATTGGATGCCTCGGTATTAGTAAAAATGGTGTCCGACTGCATATTTACCATAAGAAACAGCAGCATTGCGCTGTTAACTTTAGCTGGTGGATATTTTGTGCGAACTTGGTTCTTCCCTGGTGGAGTGGACCCATTTCTGCTGCAGCAATCATTATATGCTGCAGTGTGGCTCTGCCAATAATGCATTCAATATTTTTGTTCTGAATTAGGACGTGAAAAAATAAGCTGAAATGATAACGATCGCTCTGCAAGATCTTTAAAGTATGGTACTGAACATAATCTGAAAATGGTTGAAGATTAGTAATACATAGAACTTAAAGATAAGATGTGTAAAGTGTAAAAAGTAAGTGTTGAAATAATACTTTCGATCTATTTTAATTTCAATTAGTTATCCTCGTTTTGGATATTTATAGATGTTCAAGGAGAAGCAAGTAGAAATTTCAATAAGAATGTAGACTTGTTACAAGCTAATAAGGGCTATGATTCACGACTGTAGATCGGTACGTGACTGACGTGATTATATCACTTTCTCAAATGGAAAAATTTGTTTAGAATTAACCCTCTTCGTTTGATTTCGCTCCTGGATTAGAATGGAGTGGAGGAACATTACAAATTCTTATTAATGCAGAAATTTCGCTGAGAAAATCACAATAACACAATGACGAAAGTTGCACGCTGACGTCATGTTTCATAAAAATGCCACTTGTCAGTTGAGTTATAAATTAGTGATTTCTTTATTTTAAGTTAAAATAATATATCCAAAGAACCAAAATTGACAATAATGTTAGGTTATGATTACAATTTGAGGAAAACTTAGCATGTAATAGAATTATGATTCGTCGTATTTGTAAAAAAAGTTGGCTTCTGAAAAAATGTGTTTTGTAAAATAATTGTTTGTAGCATTTTTACTTTTTTATCGATTAGATGTTAACAAACTAATTATTTTATTGAACTTAAAAGTTGTGTCTCATTTTGAAGAATATCTCTCTGTGCGAAATATAGGTAAATCTATATAAATTTATACAAATAAATAAAATTGACAAGTCTGTTTGTATGTCAAAACATCAGTTTTTTACTAAATACATATGAAAGTATATACGGTACTTATGAAAAAAAAAAACAATTTTTAAAGTTTTTGTCTGTCTGTGTGTTTGCTCCGGCTATTCTCCGAAACAACTGGAGTGTTATTGACGGAACTTTTACTGGTAGATAGTTAAGGTTATAAGGAGTAACGTAGGCTACTTTTATTTTATAAAAAGAATAAGGGTTCCATGCAAAAAAAAAAATTAAAACTCATAAAATTAAATTGTAATAAATTCCAGGCGGACGAAATCGCGGGGAACAGCTAGTTATATAATTTTATTTCGTATTTTAATAAGTTACTACAGATGTATAACATAGCTGATAACGTTACTTTTTAAAGTCTGTAGAAACAGAATATAAGCGTGGTGGCGATGTATGGGCTAGTAGCGGAACTTCTTGAAGAGCGGGTGCTTGTTGTGCTGGCGGCGGTGCTCGAGGTAGAGCGCGTCGTCGGCGCCGGCCAGCGACGCCAGGCTGGGCGCGCCGCGCCGCGCGCCGCCCGCGCCCGCCGCGCCACCCGCCTCTCGCTCTTCCTCACACTCGCTCTCCGACGCGGCTAGAACCTGGACAACGAACAAAGCTGCAGCGACACTATGCACACGTGACCACATTTTGTCCCTGCGACGTGGTGTGGTTGTTGCACGTGTGGATCAATTCTAAAACTGAGTTAACGAAAGTTTCACGGTCAGGCGAATAGTCATTCTATGAACGTCGTATGGCGTGATGTATTTTGCCAGTGTCAAATTAAATTAAATTATTCCGTCTTGTGCCATCTCTGCCTGTAAAAAAGTTGTTAGGCCCAAAAGAAACAGGATGGGATCACATTTCATGTGTAAGTAGCGCATTCAAATGTATTTTATTTATGAATTGAATTATTAGTTCTGTTTGAAATTGTATTAGAGAATGATAAGTCCATTTTGTTAGTGTTGCCAATATAACAGTTTTGTTTTTCCTTACTTTTAATTATTAACAGCCATGTTAGTTGAGATTAAACGGCATTAATTTAGTTTATCAAAAATTATTTAACTGCTTTCTTATGTTGACAAATACTTTTTCCCTAATTTTAATTACTAATAGCGTTAGTAGATATATTATCGAACGGAACATTAATATAAAATATATAGGCTGTCCCAGGAAACCTGTACCAGCGAAGGTCTGTGATGTGGAGACATCAATACCTATGGATTGGACCCCCCCCCCATGTATTTTCCGCGATTTTTTGTAGTTTTCAAAATAATAATTTTTTGTTTTATTTTCAGTTTTTTTTTCAAATAGTTTTGGACGGTTTTAGCTATAACTTTCTCTGTGAAGTATTCTTAGACTTTTTTGTAAGTATTATGGCTAGTATGTGTTCATCTGTAAAACTCACAGATCATCTCACACTCATCAGATTTAGCTCTCAAAATTAAAATTTTTACTTGATTTCACCTTGAAAAACAAATTACTTAACCATGACTGAATAACTTCCTGATAATTTCAAAAACTTTATGGGTTCCTTAGCTCTCAAAATAACACAAAAAGCAGGTACTTTATAGAGAATTTTTGTTCGAGAACGGAGTTTAAAATTGATACAGTTGAAAATGGTTAAGTTTCTTTCATGCATTTGAAATGACTTTCCTCACATTTTTCTCCATAATATGGTGAATTATTACAAATGTTAGATAAAAAGATTTAAAACAGCGTAATAAAATTTTTTTTGTCCTTTCACAGGAATCTCGTACTGTGCACAGAATAGTATTGTTGGTAGTCCGATTTAATTGCATCGGACTACCAACGCCGAATTGAATTTTGTCAAGAGATGTTAAGAAAAAACAACGATGACTCTGACTTTTTCGACCGAACTTTATGGACAGACGAATCGGATTTCACCCGCAACGGAATATTTAATATGCGCATAATTACCATTCTTGGGCGACCGAAAATCCAAAACTGGTTCGGCGTCACAATTTTCAACACAAATTTTTGTGTGAATTTGTGGACGGGCGTTGTTGGCAGAGAACTGATTAGCCCAAAAGAAATTATTTAAATTACAAAAAAAAAGGATTTTGTCGAGGCCATGGCAGATCCGGATGTCACATTATTAGCATGCCAGATCATGATATTTCAGTGCCTCCCGTGGGAAATACTCTATTTTCCCATGGGAATGAGATGTTTTTCCGCGGAAAAAAGTAGCCTATGTCACTCTACAGCCTCATTCCCGTGGGAAAATAGAATATGTTGCAAAAGTTTGTCCTTCTTTCACGTCGCAACAGAGCGTCGGCATGGCATGAATTTTGGTATGAGGATAGTTCGGTGGCTGTAGAGTGACATAGGCTACTTTTTTCAGCGGAAAAACATATCATTCCCGTGGGAAAATCGAATATGTTGCAAAATTAAATTCAGCTATGATTCTACAAGACGGACGACGATACGATGGACGAACACAGAAGGTCAGAATCTGGATTATTATGTCTTTGTACCATAATTAAGATAAAAAAAGTATGGATCTGTATTTTTCTAGAACTAGAACTGAGAAGGCAAGAACAAGCAGAGCGTCAGGCTGCTTTTAGAGCATTTGAGACACCTCAACGTCAGGAAAGGCGTCTTGAACAGACAGAGCGTCAGGCTGCTTTAAGAGCTTCCGAAACATCTTCTCAAAGTCAGGAAAGGCGTCTTGAACAGGCAGAGCGTCAAGCTACTTTAAGAGCTTCTGAAACACCTTCTCAAAGTCAGCGAAGGCGTCTTGAACAGGCAGAGCGTCAAGCTACTTTAAGAGCTACTGAAACACCTGCTCAAAGTCAGCAAAGGCGTCTTGAACAGGCAGAGCGTCAATCTACTTTAAGAGCTACTGAAACACCTGCTCAAAGTCAGCAAAGGCTATTCGAACAAGCGGAACGTCAGGCCGCCTTAAGAGCCGCGGAAACACCTGATGAAACTCAACACAGACTCATTGAGCAAGCTGAACGTCAATCTACTATAAGGGCATCTAAAACACTAGAACAGACACAGGCGCGAAGAGATGCAAATGCACAGCTCCAAGCTGAACGTCGACAAAATTTTCAAAGAAACAATTGGTCGGTTTTTAATGACGCAGCATTCAATTATGATCCGTTGATTGATTATAAAAATTACAGGTTAGTTGTTATCGGACTGATGGACAAGGCGTGCCAATTTTGCAGCGCTTTAAAATGGAAAGATGAGACCGCAGGCATGTGCTGTTCCAATGGCAAAGTGTCTCTTCCGTTACTTGGGGAACCAGAAGAACCTTTGAAAACTCTCTTTTTATATGATGCTAATGAGTCACGGCGCTTTTTAAACAGGATCCGGAAATATAACTCATGCTTTCAAATGACGTCCTTCGGAGTTGACCGGGAAATAATAATGCCGCGATTTTCGCCTACATTTACGGTGCAAGGGCAAATTTATCATAGAATAGGTTCACTTTTTCCAGCTGAAAACGAACAGCATAAATTTTTACAAGTATATTTTATGGGTGACGAAGAAATTGAGGTAGACCGTCGCTGCCAATTTATCCAGGGAGTTGAGAGAGACACAGTGTTCAAAATTCAAAGATTCTTGCATGAACGTAACATTTTAGTCAAAACATTTAAAACTGCTTTAGAAAACCTACCCGAAGAGGATTATAAAGTCGTCATTCACGCAGATCGGACCCCTCGAGGAGAGCATGAAAGGCGCTACAATGCACCTTTGATAAACGAAATAGCAGCCGTAATTAGTGGTGATCAATTTTCTTCACGAGACATTGTCTTGCGAGCACGTGATGATACGTTGCAACGGGTAGCCGATACACACAAGTTTTATGACGCTCTGCAATACCCATTGATTTATTGCAAAGGACAAGAGGGTTATCATTTTCAAATTCCACTCATTAACCCGGTCACAAAGTAGCCTACTTCGAACAAAAAAGTATCATGTATGGATTTTTATGCGTATCATATGATGTTGCGAGAAAATGATTTTAACCTCTTAGCCCGGTGTAGACAATTATTTCATCAATTTTTGGTAGACATGTATGTGAAGGTAGAAAGTGAACGTCTCCGTTATATACCTTTAAATCAAAAAAAGCTGCGCGTTGAGAATTATATACATTTACAAGATGCAGTTTCTAGCGACGCCAATGTAAACCCCAGAGATTTAGGTAAAATGGTAATTCTGCCCTCATCATTCGTTAACAGTCCCCGCTACCTACATGAGTACACACAAGACGCATTCGCCTTTGTACGAACTTATGGAAGACCTGATCTTTTTGTTACTTTTACTTGCAATCCCACATGGAAAGAAATAACCGAGGAGCTAATGCTGGGCCAAAAAAGTACTGACAGACAGATTTAGTTGCTTGAGTATTTAGATTAAAAGTACAAAAATTAATGTATGTCATTAACAAAGGGAAAATTTTCGGAGAGGTGCAGTGCTTCATGTATTCAATTGAATGGCAAAAAGAGGATTACCGCATGCTCACATTCTAATATGGCTTAAACAGAAGTTGCGGCCCAGCCAAAAACAAAATAGCGCCAAATTCCGGATCCTGAGCAAGATAAAGAATTGTATGATACCATTGTCCGAAATATGATTCACGGTCCATGGGAGCACGAAATTCAATATCGCCATGTATGAAAGAAGGAAAATGTACAAAGAAATTCCCTAAACAGCTATTAAAAGAAACAGTGCACAATGACAATGGCTACCCTTTATACAGACGCAGAGCTCCCGAATATGGTGGCAGGAAAGTTACAATCAAATCTCGCTCTGAGCGTTCGAACCTAGAACAGGGATTGTCCCGTATTCGCCCATTCTATGTAAAATGTTTAATGCCCACATTAATGTAGAAGCATGTAGCTCAGTCCGCGCAATCAAGTATATCTGTAAGTACATAAATAAAGGAAGCGACTCAGGAGTGAAGGTGAGGCAAATCCCGTTAATGAAGTACAGACCTTTCATGCAGGGCGTTATGTCAGCAGTAACGAGGTAGCGTGGCGTCTCCTTGGCTTCCCTTTACACGAAAGGCACCCAACAGTTACCTTGCTGTGCACTTAGAAAATGGAGAGCGTGTATATTTCACCGAAAGAAATTTCCAAGAAAGAATTGCATCACCGCCAAAAACTACACTAACAGCCTTCTTTCAACTTTGTCAAACCGACCCCTTTGCAAAAACGTTGTTATATTCTGAAGTCCCCCGCTATTATACTTGGAACACATCTAGGAAGGAGTGGAAACGCCGTATTCAAGGCGCTCCTGTTGCAAATTGGCCCGGTGTAAAGTCATCAGATGCCCTAAGTCGTGTGTATACCGTCCATGTAACTAATTTTGAATGTTTCTGTTTACGATTGCTGCTGCACCATGTTCGGGGTCTACAGAATATAAAGACCTTAAAACTGTCAACGGTCAGGAATGCGCATCTTATAGAGAAGTATGTGAAGCTCTGCATCTTTTAGAAAACGGTAATCAAAACCAGAAAATTATGCAACTCTCATATCATCTTGCGGGCTATCTACACATTAATTGTGGGACAAATATAAAGAGGACATGGCGGAAGATATTTTGCGAAGGTTAAAGCAGACACACG